ACAAAAAGTCTGTGTTTTAAACTCTTTAATTTACTCAGCCTTTCCCTTGGGATGTGTGTTTTTCCCTCCTTGGTAAATCATGGTTAGCTAGGTGTATTGGTTGTGCTGAGCTGGATTTGACCACTAGATCTTAACGCTTTCAACTGTTTTTCTTTTGACATTAAATCAATCCACATCCTTTATTAGAAAGTTCTAAGAGTATTTGACAACTCTTGAGTGTTACACATACAAGATTTTCTCTAGACCCTTGTGCTGAGAAGCATAGTGTTAATTCTTCAGTATTCTAGAATTTCAGTACAATAATCAGTGCAGATCCTCAGGAAAAGTTTAATTAGAGAATAAGTCTCGATTTATGGAAGTTTTGGATAGCACTATAAGTAAAGTTATAAATATTGAGAGACATACTGGTAAGCTGTATTAAGTACCAAGAAAAAACAAGTATTAAAAGCATAAGAGGCTAGACAGTAGACATGTTCCATTAACTACCAGGGATTAAAAATACATTATGTATTTTGCTTGCTTTGTGACTTTTCGCTGACAACACTGTGTTCCATTGCAGACAATATTTTACATCCTTCCCCGCCTTTCGGAACTGGCCGAGGATGAATGGATCTCCCTCTCTAAATTTGACAGATTCACTGACATTCCTTTGCCAGCAGCATTTCAGTGGTGCCATTCCCGGAGGGAGCTTCGTGATCTGAAACCAAGTGACTGGTCTCAGCAAGACATGGGTAAAATATAGCCAATCTGTAGTAATTGTAATTATTTGTGTGGGATAGCTGTGTACATCTGTATTCAGTCTGACCTCTGGTTTTCAGTTGAAGTAAACTTGCATCTTTGTGAGCAGAACATGTCCCATAAAATAACAGATGATGATGAATGGTGTCTCCAGTATTACCATTTGGATTATCGTCTTTATTGAAGCACTAGTTTTCACTCCACTTGCATATCCATATGAACATACAATTTGTTGTGATAGGTTCACATTTGGCTGAAGCAGACAGCCAGACAGAGTGGACTGATGTTCAGAAGAAGATTATACCCTGGAAGAACAGTACTCCTAGTTTAGACTTGGAAATGGCATTTCAGGATCGTGCTGCTAAACTTGGCAAATCAAACAGCAGATTGATTGTGGTGGCTTCACTTATTGACAAACCTACCAATTTAGGAGGTAAGGTTGATTGCACATAGTCAAACTTTTATTTTAGACCTTGGAGCACACTTCGAGAATAGAAGTTAATTTCATTTTATGTTGGTAATTAGAAAATTATTTAAGTACTGCTCAGAAGAATAGATCAATTTCCTGAAAGAAACTGGTAGCCAAAGAAAATCCTACCCACTTCAGAGAGAGGGGTCTTCTACAGTTACTTCTCAGGGAAAAAAAAAAAGGAAGTATTTACATATAGCATAGTAGAATTTTGCTGTAAATCATGCTCAGTTTCTTGCTAATTCTGCATTTGCTACAGTTCAGTTTTTCAACTGTGTATGCAATTAAAGGAAATTACTTGGGTTTTCATTTTTTTCTGTAACAAATCAAATCTTGTAAACCTACAAGATTCTCATGTCTGTTGGACAGCAGAGTCCCATTTCCCCATTAAGACTGCCTTCACGACGTGTCAGCTGTGACATAATAAATCCTGCAAATACTTTATTGCCGTTTGTGTTTGATGTTAGCAGTTTCAATAACTGTAATGAGCAATGAAAAGCCCACAAGCTAGTGCTGTCTGCACTGTAATGCTGTTATGTGTCATCCTCTTTCATTTAACAGGTCTTGGGTTTAAAGCTTAAGCTTGTGTGTGGATGTATCAAACCACCATCCTTGCTAAGGCTTGGACACTTAACTCCTTACTTTGTATAATTAGTATTGTAAAAGCGTGTTGTCAAGACACAGTGCTTTTCTAATTTTTATCTTTCTGCTAAGTTACAAAACAATTTTTTCCTGTAATTTGTATGGATCAAAGTGTGGCTTGGAAGACCTGAAACTAATTAAAAGTAGATAACTAAAGTAGCCATTTCTCTTTTGCATTCTTTGTCATTTTCACTTGGTGTTCTGGCTTGGTGTTTATTTTCTACACAAAAATGACTTTATTTCTTGTTTTTGTAGGTTTATGTCGTACAAGTGAAATATTTGGGGCATCTGCACTAGTTGTTGGCAGTCTTCATTATATACAGGATAAGCAGTTTCAGCATCTGAGTGTTTCTGCAGAGCAGTGGCTCCCTCTTGTCGAGGTGAATGGAAACATTTTAATAGCTAAAAAATATACTCAGAATCTTCAGTTTGTCAGATGCATAGTGCAGAGCCTCAACATTTTTTATCTTGATAAAAATATCTTTTTGTTTAATGGAAGCTCTTGCTGTTACCTCTGACACTTAATCTTGTATGTTTTGGGTGAATCTTACAAAAATAATTTAGAAAATACTTGCAATTTTTTATTGCTGTGATAAACTGATTATGTCAGCTGTCATTGTTACATCTTTCTTCATGGTATTGGTGGGGATATTTTGTGCCACTAACTTTTTGTGCTACTGAAGAGCTTTTAAAATGTTAAGCTATATATGTACATGGACAGTCTTTGGGGATGAAAGTCATTCATCTTAACAAATGTCCAAGTAAATTGTTTGTTTTTTTCTTTTTTTACCATAATTTCAGAAGTTTACAAAAGGTGATATTTATATATTTTTATATTTCTCTCTACTTTTAATGCACAGGTGAAACCATCTCAGCTTGTTGATTATTTAGAGCAGAAGAAAACAGAAGGCTACACTATTATTGGTGTGGAGCAAACAGCTAAAAGTTTTGATCTTACAGAATATTGCTTCCCAGAGAAATCACTATTATTGCTGGGGTAAGAGCACACACAGTTTTGTAAACCTACATCTTGCAGTCCATCCCTTTCTCTAGTCAGAGTATGGTCACATGAAAACCAAGTGACATCGGTAAAGATGATTCTGGAATGGGAAATGATCATGGAAAGAGCAGTCCTTGGCTTTGTGTGCTAAAGACCATGAAGTACTGCTATCTACTGAATGACCCTTCTCACATTTAATAACCTATCCATACACTGTAACACCTTTTAATAAGGGGTGAAGGTAGCAACAGCACGAGTTGTATTTTTCTGGGAGTGCTGAAGACACCATCTGTTCAGCTCAGTTGCTGGGGCCCTGTCTGTGGTGAGCTCAGCCAGGAGGAGGCTGCGTTTGCCCTGCTGAGCTTGGTGAGGAGGGCTGGAGCAGACTGAGTGTGCATGGCTGGGAGGTGATTTAAAAGTTCAGCATGAGAGGCACAAGATGAAATAGCAAGTTTTGGCAGTACAAGCAGAGCAAGGGACAACTTCAGAGAAAAGCAGTTATCAGTTTCTGTAAGCAGACAAGCCTCAGATGTAATACAAAGTGGGGGAGGCTACTTAAAGAAATCTGCAGTAAAGCACATAAGAGTGAGAAAGCTCCTGGCATTGCAGGGCTACTGAGTGAGACCAGGAAGAAGGGCCTGGCTATCCTCTTAGGACAAAGATTTTTTTTTTCCAACTTTTTTACATGTAGCTTGTCGTCAGAATGGAGCGCTCATCATCACTTTGTTCCCCTCTAACTAAAAACAATAGTTTTGTTGCCAGTAAACATCAGTATCGTCTGGTGTACTCAGTTTTTGACATTCCTTCATGCCAAGATCTGAATGTGAAGTGGGCATTTGAGCTTTCCTGCTGTGCCAGCAGCTTCATACCATGGTGATTTCACCATGAGAGTCTCTATGCTGGGTGCTCAGCTATTGCTGGACCAGTGAACTGAAAACTGAGTCTTCCAGCAGGTTTTGTACATCAGAACTTAAGTCAGCTCTCTCCATGCTTTCTTTGCAATGTATTACTGTTTTTAAACAATTCATTTCTTGTCATCAGTTATCCCGTAGGCAGATGTGCCATTTGTCAAGAGGCGCTTGGATGCTGTTTTGACATTTGTATTTCTTACTTTCTGGAACACACATGCCCTCTCTCAGATACAAGTTACTGTTTCTTCTTTACTAGAAATGAACATGAAGGAATCCCAGCCAACCTGATTCACCACCTGGATGTCTGTGTGGAAATTCCTCAGCAGGGCATTATCCGGTCACTCAATGTTCATGTGAGTGGAGCTCTGCTGATCTGGGAGTACACAAGACAACAAGTGATCAAGCAGAAACAGCAGCAATAACTGCCCAGAGTCTCGTGCCTTACTGTACAGCTGGACGGCTTCCTACGGTGCTACGACATGAAGTTCTGAAGAGATGAGATACAAACTCAGGGTGAACGAGGATTCTTAACTTTGCATGTTCTGTTCTCTGTAGTGTTCAGAGTGACTTTTAAATGCCTTAATACTTTACCTCCTTAAATTGTCGCATTGGAAATAAATACTATTTATATTGCAAATTGTGTGTGTTTTTTCTGCTGAATGTCAGCACAGTACTGTGAACAATCTCAAATTCAAAACACGGGATTTTTACTGCAGGAACTTCAGTTGTGGTGACTGTGCTTGAAATTTAAGTTGTGCCTTTAACCATAGTTTTAAATTATTCCAGCACCTAGATATACTAGGTTATATGATTTTTGGAAGGTAACTCCACTTACATAATTACATTCAATGCTGCTCCTTGTTTAAATGCCTTCTACAGTCACATTTATTAATCCCGCTGTAAACAGTCTGTACCTTTAAATAAAGCTGCATCACTAAGGTAATCCAATTCTACAAAAGGCCATAATTTGAGAATTGTCATAAATAACTGGACATACTTCTAGTAGAGATACTGACTGAAAACATATCACCAGTGTAAAAATTCCTGTTGCTTAAAAAAAAAATAAGCATACTCCAAACAGAGGCTTACATATCATATGCACAGGATGCTTTAGGCCTTCTAATGACCACTGCTGTATAAGTTAATATCTGACTTAAACTGTATTTTAAAATACTTTGAAATACCTGGTAAATGACAAATATAAATTTTATTATACAACCCACTGCTTTTGAAAAGAAAGGCAAGTTGGAATGGACTTTTTTAATTTAGGAAAAAAGTGGTTCACTTACTGAAAAACAATTTCATTTTCTCTTTAGAATATGTACATAGCAGTATTAAATAATCATTTATTCCTGTGAAACAATTTTACTAATTATACATTCAAACCCTTAAATTTGTGAACAGCCCTGCACCATATTTCTTTGACTTAAACTCATCAAAAAGCTGCCCGTGACCCCTTTTTTTAGCAGACATGTGAGACCTGGCAACAAGAAGAGCAGTCTGCATTTCAGGGAGACTGCTACATCACCAGTTCTTGCACTCAAGCAGCTTCTGTTCCTTTCTCTGGCTTCTTCGTTCTATAGTTACTCTGACTTGATTTGAGAGCACAGTTCCTAAGACTTTCCAGCAGTTTCTGGAGGACGATACCCTTCTGTTTCAAGCTTCTTTTTATATTTTAAAAAGTCTCTTCTTTTGTCAAAGTGTTTAACCTGTATAAAAAGACAAATTGTTCATTATCAGAAACTAGCAACAGGAAGGGGCTTTGTGTAAGCAGTCTTTGATCACTGAACTGAAGGAGGATTTTAATGCACTAGTTAGGAGTTTCTTCTGTTGAAGACTAAAGAGTGGCATGTTTAGTTTTTGGGGGTTCTTTACCATTTTGAAATTAAACTTCAGTTTTAAGTTCACCACCCCGTTACTTCATTAAGATCTTATACGCTTTTCTCTTTTCACTACTTTGAACAAAACTTATTTGTGATGCAAAGGTATGTCCAGCAGCATTTCTATGGTATTACAGCCTACGTAACCCGGGTTCAGAGTCTAGAACCGCTGATGTGCACAGTGCAAAGCCCTGCAGATGAGACCATCATCCCTAGAGATAACAAACAGCAGAACTGCACTGTTCAGAGTGTCAGTCAGTGCAGCAGCTGTGAAGGTACTCAGGCTTTTCAACTGACTTCAGTCTACTACCTGCAACAGGAACTGTTCAGACCCTCCAACACCACTGCTACCAAAGGGCAGTGCCTATTAAAAAAGAATTACAGCTTGAGCTCAGGAAACTAAAAAACACAACATGAATGGATTACATTGCAGGCAGGTGCCTTACTGTGAAATTACACTGCAGGAAAAAAAGGTATTTTTATGCACAAGATGCCAGTCTTAAAATGCCAGGCACTGCACGGCCTGTATGGCAGTTCCCTTCTGTACTGGCCTTTAAATGGGAATTTCTGGGTACTTCTACAAGCTTCTAAAACTTTTTGGTTTAATTACAACACTAACCCTGTGTGTTTATCTGGAAGTTTGAGACACCATTTTCCTTTCTCTTTGTACTATACCCTTAACACTGCTTTCCTTAGTTCCCGGGCCATCAGGGGTGCGCTCAGGAGCCGTCCTTTCCCAGCCAGCCAGAAGTGTGCGAACCAGGCTACCCCTGACAGTACGGCGAGCTCCAGGCTGCCCAGGCAGGCTAATACTGCGGGAAGCCGGAGCTGCATCCCGCCGCGGCTGCCGGCGATGCGCGCACGGTGCTCACCCACTGCTGCGGGCAGCGCGACTCGAAGGCCCGGCGCAGCTTCTCGCACTTGGCGGCGTCATCCCCGTGGCTGTCCAGGCACTGCCAGAACTCGTCCCGGGCCCCCCAGCACGCCTTCCTCTCCTCCATCGTTGGCGCCGCCATCCCGGCTGCCGCCCTGAACACAAGGAGGCCGCTGTCCGAGCGCTCCCGCCCTGCCCGCCGTGCCGCGGCTGCGGGGGAAGGCGCTGCCGCCGCCGGGAGAGCCCCGCACGGCCCCGCAATCGCCCACTCACCCGCCCGCCCGCCAAGGTCGCGCTCCGGAAGCGATCCCGGCCCTTTCCCGGGGCGGGTCCGCCCCCGCGTGTCCCGCCCCGCCGGCTGCCGCGTCCTGCCGTGCGCGGGGTTCTCCCGATCCTGTCCCCGTCAGGACTGCTGCAGCCGCTCGGTCGCAGAAGGTGTTTGGAAGTATCAGTTGCCTGATGTGCTTTTCCGTACTTAATTTCTTTCCGGTGTCCTCCTCTGTTGTCTAGCGCACGGTAAACAGCTGTTCTTCTCGTGAGTTCCGTGCAGTGCATAGTAATGGATTGTCTGCTCGAAGAAACGAAGTGTCTCTGCTTTCCTTTTTGACGCATAAGAAAAACAGCTGGATAAAATCACGGTGTAAAATGTTTGGGGCCGGGACCAGTTTCCATGTGGTATTCGTAAAGCCAGCTCGTAGGAGGTGGAACCCAATTTCGGTAGTGCTGAGCAATGGCACGTGCTCTGAGCTACTGCAGGCTTTGTTAATTTAATGAATTAGGGGGAAAAAAAAATCTGAGAGCACTTACAGCACTGGAAATTTGCCGCGCTTTAAATAGCATGACAGTAAGGTAGTGACTGGGTGGAAGGCTGATAAAGATAGCATATACATGTAATGCATTTTTGACAGTTTTCCTTGCAGCAGGGTTCCTCCTGAGAGCTGGTCCATTGATTTCATGTAGTATGCACAAACCACTCTAGAAAGGTTTCTTGGAACGGACTCTGTCACGGAAGCAAGCTGAAAGTGAAAGAAAAACATACCCGTAGTCAAGGTGGTGAAAGAGCAAGAGAAGCCTGAGGGCAGCCAGGTGGTGACCGAAGTCTGCAGCACTGGCAGAGAGCATCCCGAGGCACGCTCTGTTTCATTATTTCATTTGGGACTCGGTGGCATTTCCTGCATGCCAAAAGAATTGGCGGTGTCCTTTCATGCATCAGTTCCACCTGGTAATGTGGGCCAGTTTTGCATTTTTAAAAGCTATGGCACATGTTCCCATAGTAACACACTGCAGTTTTGGGAAAGGTGACATTTTGGCAGCTGGGAAGAGCCTAACTCTGCCAGCTGCTGAGCCCTTGGCAGCTCCCGATGCCCGGGCAGCTTTAGAGGCTGTTTTTCCTGGTCCGGCAGCTTTCCTGGGAGTTTGCTGTAGCCGGTGCTCTGCCTGGTGCGTGAGGCTGCCCAGCAGCCTGTTCAGGGGTGGCTGTAGCTGTCAGCCCACCTTGAGCTGGCTTTTTCCCTCAGCACGTGGTAATGATTCTGGCTGGCGATGCTGGGCATCCTTGCCTGGTTCTCCTTGCAGGTGGCTCGCTCATTGTGATATCTGAAAGCTATTTTAGGAGAGGGCCAAAGATTTGCACTTCTTCAGCAGAGCCCCCTTGTAATCCAGCCAGATCTAGAGGGGATTTTTTTTGTTGAAATGTCCAACCCTCCCTTTGGAAGGGACGCTCTTTTGGAGCAACGTGAATGTGACTGTTGCTGTACACTTTGGAGTGTATAACACTTGTCCATGCTCTCTGCCCTGCCTGTTTGTCTTCTGTTTGCTACACTAGGATAGGTAAGAGATAGAAATGCAGTCATATAGTTGTTTCTAATAATAGAACAAGGGGTTTAAGGTGAGTGAAAGTTACTGCAAAAATAGAATTTCAGTTGTTTTTATGTTGCAAAAAATGAATGTAGAAGTAGATATGTATTGTAGCTCACTTAGGACCCTTTTGCACTCAGGCTTTTGCGAAGCAAGGTTTCACAGGCATGAATGTTGAAAAGAAAATTAATGTAAAGTCTCAAGACCAGAACATGTGATAATGGAATGTAATAATAGGAAATGCCAGTTGTGTTTTAGATTTCAAAATTTATGATGTGTGTAAAGTTGTTTAGTTACTGCATTTATGAAACAGAGGGGATAATGTGATTATATATAATTAATCACAAAGCCCAGATAGCACATCTGGGATATTTCTTATAAATAGTTTATTCTTTAATGACCTGTAACCTGAAAAGTAGTCACTGGAGACAATTGTAAATAACTCTTTGTAAGGGATATTAAGGAAATTTAGTGATATGGTTTCAGAAAAAAAAATACACAGATTCAGATAATAAATTTTTAATAGCAATATTTCCATTTGGTTAAACTGCTGTCCATAAGCGGGTGGAGGTTTTTTGTTCTTAATTGGCCAATTCTAAGTATTTATCTTTAGTCTTTTATTTTGGGAAATGTGCCCAGGGAGTAATGAATGGGATATTTATGGTAATTGGCAGAGGCTAATGTTCTAAAAAGATGGGAGGAAAAATTCCAGATTTGTTAGGTGTGCTGGTTTGCCACAGTTGAAGCCTTTGAGTTACATTTCCATTTAGCAGTTAGTGAGATAGATGTTAAAGAAATAGATGCCAGTTTCCCGCAGAAACTCTTGCCAGCAGTGTGTTAGAGTGAATCATGTGGTGTTTATACAGTGGTCCAGCTCTCAAGCTCTTTTGTGCCTATTCTTGCTAATTGGGATAGTGCTTTGCCTTCCAGTTAATGCCCAACTGCTCACTCCTCACCTACAGCCTTACTAACCCCATATGTAATTGAAATTTGCCCAGCAGATTCTTCATTTGTGACTATAATGATTTCTCCTTTTACTCTGGAAGCAATTAGCATGTTATTGGTGTCCCCACGGCCAATAATAGAAGCAATCCTTGATGTTCTGTAGCTGTGTGCTTATACAAGGAGTTCAGTTAATTTGTTTTTCTTTCATTGAAATATTCCGATGTATGATCCTTATCCATGACAGATTTTCAGGGAACTGAATTTAAAAATGACTTCTTTAAGCAATATAGCCCTTTGTCTAACTAATTATTTTGCTGGAAATTATAAAGAAATCTTACCTGAGGTAGCCTGGGGCGTTTTCTTCTATTGCGGAATAACAAGAATTTTTTTTATAAAATTAAAAAATACATAGTTCAATTTTAATATAAGAATATTTCTCTCCTTCCCACCTTCCTTCTTAAATGTCCATTAAGGATGTAACTCTGACTTCTTTGGCTATACAGTGTTCCTTGCTGTGCTTGGTGAAAGAAAATAATTATAAAAAATCAAAGTCGTTACAATGATTAATTGTACCTGGTTTTATTATTAAAAGGAGTAAATTCAGCAAAGAAACTCATGAACTGCATACAGGAATCTTAGACTGGAAACATTTAAGAAGTGTATGCTGTACTTTCTGTGGCCTTATGCAAAGCACTTCATTCTTTCATAAAGACTTCACTCTGTGTTTTACTTTGTGAGTCTCTTTTTAACAATAGCATGCCTAAACTTCAGACGAGTTTGCAAAAATTTAGGTTTATATATGAATAAAGAAGGAGGAGTGTATGAGGAGAAAGAAAACTGTAGGTTTTGTTGGGTAATCTTAGCAGATCAGTTCTCCAGAACCCTAAGATGTGAATTAGCATATGTGTTGGTTGGTTGGTTGGTTGGTTGGTTGGTTTGTTTTTTAGCTGTGTGTTGGGATTCTTGACTCCATTTCTTCAGAACACTCTCTTTGCTGGGTATTGTGATGGGTATCCCTGCACTAGGGAGTGCCAGTGTGATGTGAACCTAGAGGATGCAGCACACCAGGGGTTGGGACACCAGGAGGGACAGAGGCAGAGACACTGCCCCAGCTTTCTGTGCAGCTCCCTGTGTACCAGAGGCTGGCTGCGTGCATACATCAGGTAGCGCTGGAGGGGGTTTGGCTGGGAAAGATGAGCCATCTGTGCAGGCTGATATGGAGACAGAGGGGAAATAATAGACAGAATGGTTGTTCTTCACCTTCTCCAGGCCTGTGTTTAGTGATTTGAAGCCTGCTGAGCAAAGGCTTGTCTTATCTTCGTGGCCTCTCATGGACATCAGTGGGGTACCTTGTGGAGTGTGGTCTGAAAATCACTAGGTACATTGGGGCGTGGTGATTATGGTGAAGAAAAAGCCCAAAAACGGCAGGTTTTGGATTCTTTTAGGTGATGAAGTAATTTACATTATTTGTAGGCACTTGTTTTTAATGCCAGAATTCCATTTTTGTTCAGTTGTTAGAAAGGAAGAAAACAGAAAAAGGAGTATTTTGGGAAAGCAGGCGATGGTGGGAAGACTGACTAATTCTCACTCTCCTATTGGCTCCTGCTTAGCAATTCTCCAGGCCAACCAAGGATGAGACAAGTTTGCTTTGCAGCAATGTTGATGCTCAGCTCAGCAAGAAAGCTAGATAGGAAACTGGAAATCTGCCTGTTCTACAAGCAGACTTCAGTTTTCAAAGCCATGCAGCTAGAAGAGGAAAACTCATCTTTTGAGTTTAACTGGATGCCTTGAAATTTCTGAGACATGTTATGTACTAGAGGAAGGAAGTGGTTCCTAGTTCTCTCTAGGACTGAAGCACATCCTAACATTTTTAATAAAATACCCATTTGCATTCAGGTATTGTATTTATTAACTCATCAGCTGCACCAATTACCTTATGTGCACTATAGACATTGTCTGCAGTGTAGGTGTACTGTACCAGATGGGATTGCTTACACATGCACAAAGGCAGCATCGTTCTCAAACATGGTATTTGCTGCCAAGATCAATATCAATTTTCTTAGTAGCCAGGTTAGCAAGTGAGATGCCTTTGACCAAATCCAAAATCACACAATGAAAGAGTGATGCTTGTTGTACAAGTCAGGAAGGCATTTAAAATGTATAATTGGCCAAAAATCACCTGGAGACCATTATGCAGCTTGCTCTGCCTTCTAGGCTGCAGTCATTAAAAACTTGGCAGCTTCAGAAGCCAAAGGGGCAGTGAGACCTATTGCTGGGAGACTTGAAGGCTACATCCACTGCTACATCCATAATATATGCTTATAGCCAGGAAAGACAAGTTCACATTTTTGAAGTATTTACAAATCCTGCTGCTTGGATCTCACAGGAATCCAGGTCTTCATTCAAGAATCTTCTAAGTGTCTGGGTCAGTCGTGGGCATGTACAGAAGCTGCTGGTTTGGTGTAAATATTCTGTGGAAGGTAGGCAAGAAAGCCCTCCCTTA